GCCCGGGGCTCGCGCCGCTCAGGGGGCCGGGGCGGGTCCGCGGCCCGGAGACGCCCCTAAACCCGCGCGGGGTCACAGAAGGGAGGGCCCGGGTCTCGAAGGAGACGGGCGCGGGGCCAGGGCAGCGGCTAGAGCCACCCACAGGGGACACGGGGGGCGGGGTAGCTCGCGGGGGGCGAGCGTGAGCGAACCGGAAGACCCCACCCCTCCCCGCCCCCGCCCCCCGGTTTGCTGCTGCCCTCTCAGGTCGGGGTTCAGGGTGGGATGGGCTGCCTCTGGCCCCTGGTCCCCCAGCTGTCCCTGCAGATCCGGGTCAGGGTCTTGGGAGCTCACACCGCCTCTCCACGCTCTGCCAGGGGCTGTGGGGGCCAAACCCGCGGAGGTGTCCCTGGGGGGCGCCGCGAGGCCCCCACAGCCTCGCCCTGAGACACCTGACGCTGGATGCTGGCCCGGCATCCGTGGCTCCCGGGGACACGGTGCCGCCCCCAGCCTGGTGCACGTCTAGGGGCGGGCGCTGCAGCCCGGCAGGTGGGAGAGGCCCGCCGCGCCGCCTCCTGCTCCCTTCCCGCAGCTCCCCTCCCTCCCAGGTTCCCTCTCCTCCCGGGTCATCCCCTCCAAGCCCCCTGGAGTCCTGTGGGTGCCCCCGCCCCATATCTCGGGTCCCAGTGGGTCCCCAAGAGGAGGTATGAGGGGCGTGTGCTGTAGGGACTTTGGCAGGGGCGGGGGCAGGGCAGGAAAGGACCCAGGGTGAGGGGGGGTCTGTCAGGCCCTCGCCACCCCTAGGGCAGTTACTGGAGCCACAGATGAGAGCACCTGGTGGGGGACACAGGTGCTGGGGTCCTGGGGCCCCACAGGGAGGGGTGGAGAAGGGTAGGGCAGCTTCCTCCCCATCCCCCGCAGCGCCCCCTACAAACTGCAGGATCAGCGCCAGGCGGATTGGGGGGCCTCTGCCTCCACCTTGGACTGAGCAGGTTGAAGGGACAGGAGTGGGGGGAGGGGATGAGACACCAGAGCGAGCTGTAGCTGCAGAAGGGGCCACCGGGCAGGAGCTGGTCTCCCTCTCCTGTCGCCCTGCGGGAAGCCGAGGGCCAGCGAGCTGTCCACGGTCGTCCTCCAGGGGTTCAGAGCGTGCTGGGGCATGCGTTTGAGGGTGGACACAGTTGCCTGCACAGACCCCAAGCCCTGGGATCCTTCCGCCGACCTGAAGGGGTCCTGAGAGAAGCCCAGAGGTCTCAGGACTCTCTGTCTTGTCTCCCTGTCCCTCGTCCCACAGCAGGGCTGAAATGTACCACAAGTGGCCAGGGACTGTGTGGCAGCCAGATCGTGTTCCATCCTGTGGAGGACACTCTGCCCATGGGACTCTGTCGTGTTGTGATGAAGGCCCTGCCCTGTCCTTCCCAAGGCTCCCGTCCACTGCAGGAGGCACCGGCCTGTGGCTGTACCTCTGGGTGGGCCCCACGCCTTGATGACGTCTTCAGGAACTTCCTCGCAGCAAAACAATTCAACAAAGGGAACAACGAAGTTCACCTGCAGACACGAAGTGGGAGTGATCACCTGTCCCGACCCCTGGATGGGTAAAAGCCCTTCCAGCTGGGAGGTGAGCAGGGCTCCAGGATCGCTGGGCTTCCCACTCCCAGGGGGTCCCCCTGTCCACCATCTGTGCCCAAGCCAGGTCCCAGTGGATGACACTGA